ATTAATAAATAATTAATTTATTATAGCTCGGTCATTATTAAATGTTTTTGAAGAAGACGAAGCTATCGTGTAAAATTAATTGTCTATCGACGAGAAATTAATATTTCCCCATATTTAGCCTTAGCATTCATCCTTTTATGTTCTATTGTTCCTTTTATAAAATATTGAAAGGCCTACTAAACAATATAATTACAAGTCAAATAAGTCGTCATTCGCCAGCTATTAATAATATTATTATTCGTGGGAGAGCTATCCGAGAGAAACGAGTGCCACCTTCTTTTATATTCTTTTTCACATAATATTCAGCAATCATATATCTTAATTATACTGTTGTTATTTGAATTTTATACTTCTATTAAAATATTAAATTATTATTCTGATAACGAAATTATTGTTATCATTATTTATGTAATTAATTTATATTATTGTAAATAATAAAACTTCTTCCAAATGATTGAAATGATCGAAGTTGAAAAATATTTCAATGATAATTTTAAATATCATCTATGATAATCAAATATATATTTCTATCTAATAAGCTTTCAGTCTTATACTTCGTACCATTTTCTATTAAAATAGTCGATTATATCATATTTTGTTGATCAGTCAATTAATCTCAGCACAGTTTACAACTAAATATTATTTACTGCTATGACAATATTTTTCTATTACATTAATGCACGAATGATTGTAGTGACTCACATAAGCGAATATATAAATTACTATAATATGTATATAATAAAACGAACAGTGATTAAATAAATAGTAGAATATAAAGAATGAGATGCTTAGTATTTCTGATAAAACTCGTTTAACTGACTGCTTGTACGATTAGGAATTTTTGTGAGAATGAGTCGTAACAGCAATAACCACTTTAATTTACTATATTTTTATAAAAAAAAAAAATTTCCGCAAAAATAAAAATATATTTAAAAGATTAAATATGAATATCAATGAAATCAAGAAAATTGCCAAATGAATATACGATAGAAATGCTTGAAAATATATTAATATCGATAAGGTAATTATCATTTATCGCTTAATCGAAAATAGGAAATCAAATCAAATAGATTATCGCCACTAAGGTTCATTCTTTAGTACCATTGAAAAATGCTAGCAATATTGACAATTTATATTTATATTCTAACACTAAATGACTCCAAAAACTTTGTTACCGTATTAACAGTTAGGTGAATGGGCAAGCTTAACCAGAAATGATAAGTGCTAACCATTCATAAACTAATAGTTCATACAAATAGTTAATTTAATTAATATATCGATATATCCAATATCGATCAACATCGTTGATAATTCTAAGATATAATTGCAAATATTTTGAAATTATGAAAATATCATTTATCATCTTAGTGATTAATATTGACGTTGTTGTCAAATTATTCATCGTTATTATTTTTATTATTAATATTATTTATATTATTATTAATGATGAATCAATTATGAATCAGCGATAAGATTACAATAAATTTCTAATTCTTTTTGAGCCGAAATTACGAAAATATTACGAAATAATAAATAATATTATTTATTGTGAAATAATGAATTTAAATAATTTATATTAAAAAATGGTGAAATATAGGTATAGAAAACTTAAAAATGAGATTACAATAAGCTTAGTTAAAAAAAGAATTATATATAAATGTTGCGCATGAAATATACAGAACAGACGACAATGCTTTACGAGTATACAATTATATAAAAAAATCTGCAGGCAAATGGACTCCAGCGAAAAATATTTATAAGAGAAAATGATGTGCGAAAAAAAATCTTAATTTTTAGAGTTAAATTCTTAAAGTTAGAGATAAATTAAAGAGATAAATTTTCATACTACTAAGAAATTTCGAACCAAAACTAAGCTAAGGACTCATGACTTCTTTATTCGTAATATTAATTGCTGGAATAAATTACCGAACGATATAGTGGTGCGCTATTCTTAGTTAAAAAACTCACATTATGCAGGAAGTATGAAATCTCGATTTTTACCATCCGATTATAAATAATATAGTACTATATTATATTATTCTGTAATTTCCTCTTTAAATTGTTAATTTTTTATCATATTTTTTTCTTTTTTTTCTTATTAATTTTTATTATTTGCTATTTTAACTGTTGTTATTAACAAAAGCACATGGCATTGTCGCCCTGCTTGGCTGGTTTTCAATAAATAAATAAATAAAAAATTTCATAAAAATTACTAAAATTATGTTGAATTTTTCTGCAATTTTTGTTATTTTTCATGTGTTATTAGCTATTGCTAATTAATGCCATAGGAAAGAAAAAAAGGCACAAATATGTGCCTCAAAGACGATTTTCTAGAAACGTAGAACGTAGAAAGAAGGCTTCAAGACGAATTCTCAATATAAGATTACTTTTTGTAAAAAGAAATGGACCTCGCCAAGTCTTAAAAATATTTCTACCTATTATACGCTTTGACATACAATAAATAAATTTTCTTGCAGAAAACGAGACCTTCATTTCTTTTATATGATTAATTTTTTTATGCAATTTTTTCAATCACTTTTATCCAGAAGTAAATATCTGCACCTTACAACTTAAATAATAGCTTAAATAATAACTTTTATAATAATAATAGTCTCTTTTTCAGTTCACCGGTAGAATTTTATTGGATTATAACTGTTGGCGTCTTAATGATTCTTTCATATGTTTTAGAAAAAAAGTGGAAAATTCCACGAAATTTCAAATTTTCAATATTTTTATTAAATTACAACAGAAATTGTTAAATTTTAGCAATAATTCGTTTGAATCTCATCATTATGCCATAAAGAAGAAAGATTTGTCAACTAAAATGTCGCAAACAAACAAAATTTGCTAGCAACGACTAATCAGCGACTAGCTGACAATAAAGATTTATTTGCGCTTCTTTTTTTCAACAAAATCAATGATTGATACGATTTATATAAGATAAGACCTTCTTTCTTCTTCTAACAGCTCTCACCATTACTGGCTCCAACGGCTACGGGGGTAAGTCGCTTCCAAGCGGCTCGGTCTGATGCTATCGTCGACAGTAATAGAATCTATTCCTTTTTCTATCGACCAAATCGATGAATAAGGAAATTATAAAGGAAAAAAAGCAAAATGTGAAACATCCAGAAAAATTATTTTTCACAGGACGATGAGATGATAATGGTAATTTACGTATGCCATTTACTACATACTATTCCTTGAAAAAGCCGCAAGGCTATTTAAAAAAATGCAAAAAAAACTGCTGTGTAGAAAGCTTAAACCATATATTTAAGCATTTTATACTGTTGGAACATAGGCAAAACTACTATCTTTAAGGAAAAAATTTTCAAGCTACGGTTCAAGGCGAAACTATTCACATACACATTTATACAGCAATTTCATTCTATAATAATTTTGAAACAAAATTTGAAATAAAAAAAAAAAAATTGTTCTATAAATCGGCTAATCCTTTCAACATTTATAATCACTAAGCTTTTTGTGCATTTTATAGTAAATTCGATCTTTTAATAAAAATTTAAATACTTCACAACAATTTTCATCTAATCATTAAGTGATGAACTGACATCGTAGATGGTCGTTTTTTTTTTTTTGTTTTAATATTGTAAATTGTGAGATAATCTAATTAATTATTTATGAAGGCATCAGTCTGTAAATCGAATACCCATTTATTGTTTGATCTCTTTCTGTTCGGTTATTCAGTTATTTAGCAATAATTTTCCTTCCAATAAACAAATATATTTGTTAAATAGCTAAATGTATTCAAATCTAATTAGTATATTTTTAATTAATTCATCTGAAAATTTTTGAAAATTACTAAAAATAATTTATTAAAAAAAAATTTATTTAGAAGGATTTTTATAGAGAATTTTTTAAATTAAGAAAAACTTATATAAAAAAAGTTATAAAATTATTAAATTAGTGAAAAAATTTTTTTATTGTACTTCATTTTAAAGTTTTATAAAGCGTAAATACCACAATTTATAAGCATTCTCGAATAAACAATAAATTAAAAATTAATTTTTTCTTTCTCATTTGAGATTTATGTAAAAAATCTTTTAGCATAGCATTTCTTGCAAATTTCAATATATAAGCAATTCATTTCTTAAGAAACTTTTATTTATATATTTATTAGATACAACTGGGGATAGAATGGCTCAGTAGGTTATTGCTCAATTGAAAGCGCCTGTGCAGAGTCAATTGATTCAATTCCCTATAGGAGTAAACCTGTAAGAAAATCCGGCTGATGCTGGCGACTCACCTGTATTTCTATCGCCAAGGGTCTCCTTGGCATATTGCCCAATGCGACAAGCCAGTGAAGCGAGTTTAACCAGTAATGGTGAGGACCCTTTAAGAAAAAAAGAAATTAATTAATCTAATTATAGGCATTTATAATAGGCAATTATAGGCATTTTCTTATATAACTATATAAGAAAAATACAAAAAGAAAACTAATATTATTGTTGAAAAAAATTTTAATTTCTAAAAAATTTTTAAAAATAAGGTATCTAAAAATATTATCAATGGATTGTAATCATTACAAGTATAATGAAAGGATTTAATTCAATAATTTTGTTGCATTCGACCAAACTTCCTCAATTCGCGTTTCGTTTACCTTTTTTATAGTAGTTTAATACTATTCATTTTCTAAATATCTTATTTCGATTTTTATATTTTTATCATAATCGATAAGAGGCAAAAGTATGATGAAATATATTAAAAATAAAAATAGATAAGATAGATAAAAAATGAGCTTAAAAAAATGGCTAAATTTGTGTTTTTATGAGCAAAAATAATATTTGAATATAATTTTATATAATATAATTTTATGAATTTATTTTGCAAACGAGAAAAGATTTGAAAATTACTTTAATGAACATTAATAAAAAGTAATTGCAAATAGAAATAAAAATAGGTATAGAATACTTATTTTACTATCATTTTTTTGCTTATTATTCATCGCTTTTGACTAAATCTTCGTAAATATTAAAGTAATTATATCAACATGAATTTTCTATACGTAATGGGCAACGTATAATATTCATTTCTAAAAATATGCTGAAAAGACACAATAGAATATAGGATACAATCATAATAATACCAAATAACTTATTCATACGCCAACCAGATATAGCTATTGCTATAATTAGAACAAATAGCATTATAAACAACATTCCGACGGAACATATCAATCCTTTTGATGACACAGATACGGGTACCAATGACATATGTGATAGACCGTGGATTATAAAATGCAATAGCCATGGAATAGGTAATCTAAAAATCACAAGTCAATCAACTGTTCAAAAGCAGTGATTTGTAAACTAAACTTATCAATACTTACAAACAATGAATCAGCGATCTGAAATAACGAGAAATATTTCAATAATCCTTTCCTTTTGAATTTCGAAAAATGCTCGTTAATCAGTAAATTTCATCAAAATAAAGTTTTAAAATAAAAAGCAAAGAATATAAAGTGTTTAAAACTCAAGAACTGTAATTTATGTTCACAGTTTCAGATTTAGGCTAGCTCTGATGACTGGTCGTACGATAAGAAATTTTACCATGGAGTTATTTCGCGATTTTTTTTTGCAGTCACCATTACCGGTTAGACTCGTCTTGGTTTGTCGCACTAGACAAAACACCGAATTCATTGGCGATAGAAATATAGGTGAGGGGCTAGCATCACCTGGATTATCGAACAAGCTTACTCCTGCCGAGATTAGAATCTCAGCATCGGCATTACGAATTGAGCAACAAACCACTGATCCATTCTGTTCTGCTTTATCTTTCTCCATTAGGCGACATTACCGCCCGATGAAGCGTGGCGGATCAACGGATCCGAACCCAAGTCTTGATTCCCAGCAGTTATCTTGTCACTGAATCATCGACGCACATATCTTGCCATTGACCCACGCTTAACGGTAGAAGCGAGTGAATTGCATGAATTGAGTGAATGATTTATCTGTGGCAAAAGTCGCACTTTTGTTTGTTTGGCATATTAATCTGTTTCACTACATATTGAGCATCCGGATATCCGGTTATCATGGCCCTCATAAAATACTCAAATCCAACGAACAAGAAGTTCATTTAATCCTAAATAGAGTGAAAAAATAATATGTTAATTAATGGTGCAATTAGAAGCCACCAGTTCCAGCCCGAATAACAAAAAATTTGCAAAATTTATAACCCACCCAACGCATATATCGAAAAGATTGCTCCCAATGGAACTTGATACGGCCATATCTCCCAAACCCTTTCGTGCAACAATCACACTGCAAACAATACAATTTACTAGAATTTTGTATATGAGCCTAAATTCGACAGTAAATTTATCAAGAAATTCACTATTCAACATAAAAACATTGATACTATTGCATCTCTTCATAAATCTAGAATTTAAAGATTTCATTTGCAATTTTTTTCTTTTTTATCAAAAAATTTTAGATTTTGTATTTTTAAAAATTGTCTTACCTGGTGATGAGATCCGGTATACTTGTTCCAGCTGCGAGTATCGTTAAACCCATAATCTAAAAAATTTTCTGTTAATTTTTTAATGGTTTAAAATAAATAATAATAAATAATAAAAACAAAATATACTAAAATAATTTCTCGTTTTATCGATTTGAGAAATTATTATTCGATTATCTTTAATCAGATTACTCTCATTTTTTTTTTAAATTAACTATGTTTTATATTTAATATTTATATTTAATATATTTTATATTTATATTTATATTTAAAAGAAAACTTTGAACCTCATTATTTATTCCAAGTGTTTCTCCTATTATTTTAGCCCACCAAACCATTAAATATGAAAAAAATGCAATCCATAATATTGAGCCAATGAATGTCCATATATAATATTTTTTTGATTCCTTAAATTTATATGAAATTGAAAAAAAAATGAAATAAGAAAAAAATTATAAAATTATTAATCCAAATAAATCCGCTTTACATTAAAATAAATAAGAAAACCATAGAGAAAATAGGAAAGAAAGAAGGAACGTTTGGGTTTCAATTAAATCAGTGCAATTCATCTATCGTCTTATATTTTTGCATTATTGTTGATAGATGATCGAGTGCTATTTTGCATAAACTAAAGTTGACCGACCGTTAAACTTGATATTAAAACTGAGATATTCCATAGTCTATGGTCTGCAAGGTGGATGAGGATACGAGTGGAACAATTTGGTGTTTGTTATAAGTTTTTTTTTATGTGTGCATTTAATCTGATCTGTATCCCTTGCACATACAATTCTTCCCCTATTGTACTTGTGTGATACTGTTAAGGAACCATGCAAATTTCTACCCTAAATTGAATCTCTAGCAAAAGAATCAACATAGTGATAGTCAATAGAACCAGAATAGAACAAAACAAAAAAAAAAAAAATTGCTGATGAAAATTCCGATCGTTTCTGTACCAGTCATTTCATATTTAATTTGCCATAGGCAAACGAGTATCTTAAAAAATTAGAAGTGATGATGTGAAATAATTAAATAAAACTAACAGGCTTCTTAGTATCAGCTAGAGTAAAATATAATGGAATAATGATAGGTGCAACAATTAAATATACTATTCGAGATTTAATCGTATTTGGCCAAGATATGTCAACTGGTTTTTCACTTTCACCAGACAATTCATCCTTAAATAGTTGAAATAATTGTGGATAAGAATTAAAAAATAAAATTTAATAGAAAATTCTAAAAAAAATTTTTATTTAAAAATCAAAAGAAAGAATTTTACCGATGGTATTTTTTCATTTTTACTATTGATCAATAATGCTTTGTTTTTTTTCATTTCATTATTACTATTATCGATAATTTCATTCATTTCAGTCGCTACTGTTCCAGGTATCTGAAAATTCAAGCATCGAGATTCGCTGAGAACTACTATTTGTTATTTCTTAGCATCAAATTCTGCGATTGTTCTTTTGTGATAAAGATTTAGCAACTGCTGATAATCAGTTTTTGTATAATTTTAATAGAATTAAGAACTGATAATTTATTGGTATTTTTATAAAATTGAATTTATAGTAGACTATTTGAAAAATTCAATTAATTAATTAATTGTTTTTTATTATTTTCTTTTGATTCGCTTGAAAATAAAGATTTCTATTATTTCAATAATATACGGCAGTTTGATTTGCTTGATACTTAGAGTGAAAATGAAAAAAATGAGAAATAATCAAATAAAGTGGTTGAATGAAAATTTTAAATATAATTTCTAAAATAAGAGAAAAATACACTTATTAATTATAATTATTATAGTAATTATAAAAATTATAATTATAACAATTTAGTTTTTTTTTTTCTTGACGATAAAGAATCAGTGAAGCGGATGAGGAAAAGAGTAAATGACCCGAGAAAATTTCGGAGAAAAGAATCGAATTTAAGGATGATTCGAAAAGAAAGTAAAACCTCAGCTGATAGATAATAATTGCTAGTATGCCAAATTTTTTCTGTATTCTTCTTCATTATACTTTCAGCCGTTTCTTTATCTTAAATTTTATTAACCTTTAAATTCTCAGAATTAATCGTAGTTTTAAGATTCATAAAACTTAAGTTAAATGAATCGCTAAAACAATCGAACAAATAAAAATGCAATCCTTATCGTCATTTTTGTTAAAAATGAAATATCAAACTGTATATTCAAAAAAAAAAAATTAAAGTAAGCAGAAAAAAATAATTATCATTTTCAAAGATTTGTAAGTACCAATATTATTTGAAAGAAAAAAATGAACCGAGGAAATTCTCGGTTCATTTTAAGAAATCTTTGAGGAATGTTCATAAAGAATTATTTTATCGAAAAATTAAATGAATTTTTATTGTGATTTACCTTGCGGCTTTTCTGCAATATTTTTCATCTTTGTTAATTCAATTTGACAAGAATTCTTCGCTAAAAGTAAATATTTAGTTTTTTTTTTTTTTTAAAAAAATAAGAAAATCATAAAATTCTAATTATGCTATTTGAAAATTAATCTAAGAGATTTCATAGAAAAGTTTCAGACAGTGAAAAAAGATGGCGTAAAACTGTAATTGCTCAATTTAGAATTAAAAAAAAATGCTTAGAATTAAAAAAAAAAATTCGATAAATATGTTTAAATACAGAAAAATTTTTTCGATTTTCTTAACGCCTAGCTGTTGAATTACTTGATAAATATTCGTTATCAGCATCATTTTGTTGTACGAATGACGATATTCCTCCGCGAAAAAGTGCACCTGAATGAAGCACTGGTATAGATTTACGCCGTTCTGAATTTCTACGCCTCGATGTTGATTGAAAATGAATTATTTCTTTATCCAATTTATTATTAGTTGGCTAAAAATTATTGCTTTATTTTATTGCTATTTCTTGATATAAATAATTTTTTAATATAATAAAAATTTCTTAATTTACTTTGCTTATCAATATTTTTATAAGTTCGAGCAATTTGAATAAATATTTCTAGCGAATTTTTTTTTATTAATGAAATTATCATAAGAAATTCTCGGATGTTGTAATATTTGTGGCAATAGTTTTTTCAAAACTTTTTAAAAGCTTCTTAATGCTTCTCATTAATGGAGAAAAAATATTAATAAAATATAATTTTATCTTGTACAATATTATTATACATTATACTAGTATATCGCATCAATAATAAAAGTCTATGCATTTACTTCGACCAATTGAAAATTCATAATACTGGTTGAGATAAACCAAAGTTAGGAATAGTGCATGCTGTTAGAACAAGAATGTTATGATATGATAAGAATATTAGTACCATCAGTGATAGCATTATTTGTAATCATAGTAATGAACGAAATAATAAAAATTATTAAGAAAAATAACAAAAATTCGAACTCGTGACTGGTGTAGCAATTTGTATTTAAACATTTTTTCGAGATGATTATTATATTTCATAGCTACAGCATATAAAATATAAATTAGAAACATTGTTAAAGCTTCGTGCCATTCGATTATTTCATCAAAAAAAAAGAATACCAAAAATAATAAGGCAAACATATAAAAAAATACATCTCTGAAAAAAATCTATTTTTTTTTCTTGAATTAAATTTTTTAATTAAAAATATTTTCCTTAAAATTACTTTTAAAATTACTTATAACTATGGTTATTTATTTTAAACTAAATTCTTTATAATTTTTATTTTATAACACTGTTAATCAATTGTTAATCAATAAATCATAACTTTCTTATTATTTGCTTATTATTTACCTTTATAATTATCACTTAAGGAAAGAAAAGTGGATAGATTTGCCGGAAACCGGAAACCTCTTGAGTTTCACTTTTAATAATATACTTAATCCTACAAAGCTTTGTCGAATCCATTTCAATCATAGATCAACTAATTTTTTTTTTCGAGATTCATTGAAATTATTGAAATTTAGCGATATTATATTATTATTTTCAATATTCAAATGTTGAATTTTTGGCTCATCTAATGATTATTTTGTAAAAAGAAATAAAAATTGCTTAAAGATCAACCTAAATAAAGGCCACCATGTTAGTTGCAACATTTCGCGTGAGAATAAAGCGCAGCATGAAAGAACACATAAAATATTGAATGTCGCACTACCTAAATAATTTCATTAAAATTTTTCATTTTTTAAATTTTCTGGAAAATTTGATCGGAAATTGATTATACACTTATACTTTTCAGATTTACAACCAAGCAATATCAACTTTTAAGCACCAAAAAATTCATTAAAACAATAGCCTTAAAGGGTTTCTTTAAATGAGATTATATAGTGTAATATAGTGAAAAAAATCATCTTGAAAAAATTTTTCATTCATCGCCACTTTTGGTATTTATGTTATCTTAATTTATCTTAGCACTGTACCAAATGTGTTAATGTTAATGTACAATAATAATTTTTAATTTTTCAAAATAACGTTTTACGCAATGCTATTTAATAGAAGAACAGGTTTAAGTTGAAAGTTTTTTTAAAAATTTCTAGTCACTCATTGGTAAATTTCTATAAATTTCGACTGAAAGTTTATCTCAAACTTTCTTGATTCTTAACCAAGGAAATCAATTTTGAAAATCTTAGAGGTAAAAATGTCTCACACAAAATTACTCCTCGCAAATGAGAGAAAATTTTTGTAGTTTTTTATTGCACTTAATTTTCCACTTCATTTCTTTCTCAAACCTTAATCAGAAATGTTTAAATTAACCACGTTTATATCATATAATTCTAATTATCCTATGTTTTCCTATGTTAATATGATTATTTACAAATTGAAAGAATCGATATGTTATTGTGTACAAGGAATAGACAAAATAAAAACGTTTTACCAACGATGGTACCGACGCCAACATTATTGTGAGTTAAAAATAAGCCAAAAACGCTCGTAAAAAATTCGGGTGCAGATCCACCTGCTGCCATAAATGTTGCACCAGCTACATCATCTGATATCATTAACTGAAATAAAATTTTTTTTTTTTTAAGTTAAATCGATTTACTACTGTTCAGTTCAAAATTATTTACAAATTGGAAGAATCGATATGTTAAATTGATAAATTGATAAAATGATAAGTTGATAAGCAAATTGATAAATCAATCACGATATTATCGCTTTCTTTGAAAGGTTCATATTACTGGCAATGAATTATAGTTCTGTAACAGCCATGAGAATTTCGCTTTCAATAACAATCATATCAAAGATTTACTTTGACAGCACAGAAGCAGCATACGATTCCAGTAAATGGCTTTATTTCCCCGTTTGGCTCATATAAATAAAGAAATAAAAAGCGAAAACGATTCGACAATAAATGCTGCTATTTTCATGTAATTGTTGTAAAAAAATTGTTTTTTAAAAAAAGCCCATATTTAAAAAATACCCTTTCAGTAAGAACACTTAATGACGGAACAAAATATTCATCGCAAACAATCGAAAGTGCAATGAACATATAAATTAAGCCACAAAAATGTAAAATTATTGCACCTTTCTTACGTTGTTCAATAGTGAAAAGATCACTGGGAAACGAATCATCTGAAGTTTCATTTTTTTTCACCAATAATTTAATATTTTCTTTTCTCTTTTTTTTTTGAGAGAGAGTCCTCACTATTACTGGTTAAACTCGCTCCGTTGGCTTGTCATATTGGACAAATGTACCAGGTATTTCCTTGGCGATAGAAATACCGGTGAATAGTCAGCATCACTAGGATTTTAATATGAAATTTCCTTTAATTTTCCTTTTAATCATACTTAATTATCTTTCTTAATCATTTAATATCAACGAGGATTGTTAAGGAATCTTAATAAAGATCAATATATTTACAAAAGAAAAAAAAAGAAATTAGAAATAAACTAAAAAATTATAATTATTTCGTAATATATTTTATATATATATATATTTTACATTGAAAAAAATAGCTTAAATGATACAATAAATGATAATACCTGTTGATATTTCATTACAACGACTTTGAATTTCGGAAATTGGCAAAGTAATCTCCAACGATCGTCTTACTCGAATAAGTTGTGATTGTGTTAAATGTGTTGAAAATATTGTTTTGAAAAATTTATTACGTCCCAATGATGTATTTTTATTTATTATGTCCATATCGGATGATCTTAAAAAATTTCACAATACAAATTAAAATAATTTTTTGAAGAAAAATTTTCATTTATTTAATTCAGAATTTAAAAATTTGAATGAAAAATGAGTATTTTTAAAAGGGATATTTTTATAAATGTTTTTTTAAAAATTTTTTCTTAAATAGTTTTTTTTTTTTTCTTGAGTTTTGCCTTCATTTGATTATTATTAACAATCAATTAATAATAATAATAATTATTGATTAAAAATAATTAAAAATTATAATATTATAGTTTTATATAAAATTTTATAAAATTATAGTTTTAACAATCATTTAAGCACAATTATATTCTCCAATTTTTCGATTATTATGAATTTTAAACTTATTTACATATTTGAAGATGTTCCCGTTTTCCCGTATCGTTTAGGCTTATTTAGATTTCGATAACGATAACACTATGGCAACCATAAGATTTCCCTTCTTTTTTTTGGCCGTCAATCTTCATTTGATAAAGGTGGTAAATTCTGCTGAGATTTTATCACTAAGACTAAGATTTTAAAAAAATTTTAAATAAATGGTTCATGAATAGGCCGTCTTAATGTTATTCTTTTGCAAATAAAAGAGTATATCTTATAAATTAAGTTTTTAATTGGTTTAGATAAGCATATACAAATTTATTATAAAAACATTTTGCTAAACTATACGTACTAAAATTTAATTTATTCAGCGATTTTTAATCCTTCACTATAACAATAGATATTATTAATAATAGTAATAGAATAATATTAATAATCGTATCAATTGCAGTAATAATAACAAATAATAATGACAATTATATCGTTAATTATAATAATAATGATAATAGCAAATAAAATTAGTAATAATAGCAACAATGATAAGATATCAATTAGTAATGCTAAATCACTGGCAGAAGAAAATTTTATTAAATAATGTTGAAGAATGTAAAGAGTGTTGATTTTTGCCATATCACTAAGGTAAATTTTTTATCACAAATTATCAAAATAATTTTACAAAATTTTTAGCATAAATGTATCATAGCCATTATTAAAAAATAACCACTAATCAAGAAAAATTAGGATGAAATTAATCGAGCTGTATAATGGAAAATAATAATTTTGAAGTGAACAACTTTGTACGATAAAAAATGAAATAAAAATTACCGTAATGTTTCAGCGATATTTGAAATATGCATTGAAATTTTTTCATTAAAAATTCTATGATTTATTTTTTCATTCCATCGTAAATTAATTTCATAAATTGCCAAAAAAGTTAGTAATACGAGAGCGAGGAATGGAAATATTCGCCGTTGTAATTTACGACGAAATTGGTGATAGAATAACGATTTTATTGAAGACATCCTTAATTTTTAGTGAAATACTATCAATAAAATTTTCATGTTTTCTTGGTAGCTGAAATGGTAGTTAATGGTAATGGTAGTTAAATGGTAGTTGACAAAGGCGAAATCGAAAATTGTCATCTTTACCGATCTTTCAATTAACTCATCATAGGTCTTATTTTCAAATTTAAATCCAATTTCTTTTTCTTGTTCATCATTAATGCGATAATTTATCGAAAAATTCTATATTTCAGTTCGATTAAATAAAATTCATTAGCAAAAAATTTGGTTATTTTGCTTTCAAATATCGAATAAATTGGTTTAACTAAGAATTTTCGATATTTTCAAAAATTTGCGTAAAATTTCGATTTGTATTTTGACATCAAACGAGAAAAGTTTTTTGTTTTTTAGAGATAAAAATGATCGATGATAGAGAATCAATTTTCTAAACATCCATTAGTTAAATCTAAAATTAAAATATAAAAAATTTTGCGAAAAATTTTGATTAAATGAATAAATGATTATTCTCGATCGATTATTATAAAGAAAGCCAAGTTCACATGTCTTCGTTAAAATAAGCACAATATCTAGCAATAAGTAAGATAAGAAGGCAGACGCCTACTTCTTAACAAGTAAAATAATTCAACTGACAGATAAAGCAATAAATATGAAGAAAATCTTCATTGGCCTATTTAAAGGAATAAAATAATCGAAAAAAATTTTTTTTTCATAAAAGCAATTTGGAACATTGACTAAATTACTGGCGATCATCGAAAAAAAGATAATTTTTCAATATTTTTCATAAGTAATTTTCATATTTCTGCAATTTTTTTTTCAAATTTTTAGCTAATGCTTTTATTATGAAAAAATATTCCTTGGCGTGAGAAAGATTAAAAATACACAATCAATGGAGAATTCTAATGCGAAAAAAAAATCGAGTATGAAAACGCTTTATAAATTTATAAATTTATATAATCAGAAAATAAAATTTAAAATAAGATGAAGAAAAAATAATTTTTATTTTTACCTATTAATGCCCGAGAATTGTTTTGAGCATATTTTTATTTTCATCTCTAAGTAACTCTTGGCAAAACCTCATTACATCCCATTAACAACCAATAAAATGATTCTAACCAGAAAAAAAATTTACTTATTTACTTACCAATAATAATACCACCGATTCCTTGAAGATTTGGCTTTTTTTAAAAATATGGCTAAATGATACACCAGCTACAACAGCTATAATTCGGTGGTATATTTTATTATTTATCTTTTAACTAATTTAGCTTTTTATTAATAGTTAAACCAGCGTTAAAAAATCAAATAATCTCTTTCTCTAGAAAAAAATTAATATTATAATATTAATATTAATAATATTAATATAATATTATAAAAATATCTCTTTTCATCTCGTTTAAGCCAAAAAAGTTTGTGAATGAAATTATAAAAGAATTTTTATAGTTAACAACAACAATAACAAATATATAATCCCAGCAATATTATGTAATCAAACGCAATACGAACTTTTTCGTATTATAATTTCTCGAAGCAATAATAATTCTTTTACTTCGATGATGGTATAAATATTGATAAAATTAATGAGCGGAAGGTAAAAAGCTTTTAAGTCAATCAAAAATTTGTAAAAATTAAAAGTTAAAAATCTTAATAAAATCAAACATTATAATGAAAATTTTTAAGATCATTTGAAATAAAATCACCATTCACACCATTCACCATTCACCATCAATCACTATTTTTCAATGATTTAAATATTTTACTTTAACTAGAAAAATTCTCTAGACAGGTGTTAATTATTAGTAATTATTTTATTGCTAATATTTTTTATTATTTCATTATTTTAAATTCATAGAAAAATTCGATTGTCATTACTTCTAAACGTTTTGTTCATATGAAAAACACGTCTCAGTTCACAATGGAATTTTTTCTTTCTCTATAAAAAAAAACTATTTTAGTCTAAATAAATAAATATAATTGAATTAATTAAAACTCTAATAAATATATTTCTAATATGTTTTGTTAAAACGCTTCTAATGAAGAAGATTCATTAAAATTTTTTTTTTTTTCAAATTCATATTATATTTATTTATTAAATTGAAAATTAGTTAATAAAATCAAAGTTTTTTATATTCAATTATATCATTCAGATAATTCATTTGCCAATAAGTGCTTTTTTTTTTTCCTTTAATCGATTATTCGTTTATTTACCATTTAAAATTCTACAAATTTTGCTAAAAAATTAAAAAATTATAAAATTAAATTAAATTTAAATTAAAATTAAAAATTAAATTAAAAAAATTAAATTCAAATTACGATGTACGATGATAAGAGAAAATATATATCGAATGTATTTTAAGGCAATACAATAATAAAAAATATAAAAAGAATTGCAAAAAATAAGGTGAAATGGCAATATTTAGTGAAATTTATTATATTATATTAGTTTATATTTTAATTTCCTAAGCGGCTGATTTTTCATGATGCGATTCTAGTTGAATTACCAGAATTACTCGAATTGCAATGTATTATTCATACGTGATTTTAATTCAGTTTTCGACATTATTTATGAAGTTGTGTGAAGTTTAGCTGAAATAAAGAGAAAGAAATTGAAGAGGTTTATGGAGATAGTCAGTGATAACGCATACAGTACGCAAAGTTCAAAGAGGATTTTGTTATCACTGAGTGGAAGATGGAATAACGATCACTTGTGTTTCCCATACGCAAAAATAATATTTTTTTGGAAGGTCGCCAATAGAAATGCGAAATAGGTTCGCTATAACAATTCTGAACGTCACGGATTGATGCAGTGAGGAACAGCAGTGACCAAATTTGCTTGGAAAAAAAGTTCTCTATCCGTGATGGAAATACAAAGACGTTTTTATTATGGACTTGCTTCAACTCATGAAACCTAATAACTGCTGAGCATTATAGTCGACATCTTCAAAATTAACAGCAGCAATCGAATAGACACGTCCATTTACAGGATTCAGCACTTGATTATACTAGAAGATAATGTTCGTACTAGTAATATCGAAGCAAGAAGCCATTTTCAATTTGGTTTCAGAAGGCCTTCCTTCTTTTTCACGAACCTAACTGCATCGGATTATTCTTTTTAGATCAATGCAACACTATTAGTCAAGTGATTTTAAAATGTGGACAAAGTTTGAAATTGAGATCTGTGTGATTTTATGATGATGGATTCCTTAAATTAGTACAAATAGATGATAGCAAACAATACATCAAAAACTTCATTTACTTCATATTTTATAAATAATTCTAATTTAGTTAATAATTGCCTGTAAATTAGAAGCCCTAAATTAAAAATTATAACTGTGGTACTGACCAAGTAAAAATGAGTGCTGAAAATAAATTTTAAGTGGCAATTTTTTATTAGAAAGAAATTTAAAGAAACCCAAATTTCGCAATCATATAATTCATTCATCCGTCATACTAACCTTAAATAAATTTGAATTTTTCAAGCACTTTTTTTTTTTTTTAAATGAACCAGTGTGACGAAA